GTTAAATACGCCTCTTTCATAATTGATCGTACTTAATTCCTTCTACGCATAAACCTTTGTATTGTGATTATTTTATCATGAGATTAGTAATTCTTATAGTTATACTTAGTTTTATTATTAGTTTTAGTATTATTTTACCCCGTTGTCTTTGTAAATTGTAGAAGGTTTACATGGATAACACTGTAGAATATAATTTTTTACAATGCATTGTAATATTCTAAATAAAGTTATAACATTATTTTAACTGTAAGTTTTTATTTAGAATTATGCAATGTTATGTTGAGATTTTTATTTAAAGTTATGCAGTGTCATGTTGACTGCATATTTTATCATAATTGGTCAGAATAAAAAAGTTCTAAACAATAAAAGTTTTTTAATTATACAGTACTAATAAAACTAATACTAAGTAACATTAAAGCTAAGAGTATATTGTATCTTGTGTAAGGTATTCAGATTTTTTTAATAAAAAGTGAGCAAACAACATTTTGTATTCCCGTTGATATTAATTTTAATTTGTAAACAAAATTCTGAAAACTTTAAAAAAGATGTTCCATATTCTTGGCTATAAGATTAATTGGTATTATATTTGCTGTTTTATTACTAAATTATAAACTTTTTATGTGGAAACTTCTAAAAATTATTTTCAGATTTTTTAAAAAATATCAATGTTGACCATTTTATCTTTGATATTTTTTTAAAAACCTAAAAATGTTTATCTAAAGTTGCTAAATGTAAAAGTTGATTATTTACTAATAAAACAACAAACATGTTACTAATTGATCTTATAGTCACGAATGTTGAGCATCTTTTACAATGTTTTTACAATGTTTTTAGAATTTTTTCTTATGAATTAAATTTAACATCAGCAACTAAACACCATACATCCAAAAATTATTCTCTAAACTTTAATTGCTGACAATTTGATTTTATTTAATTAAATATGTCTAATTACTTTCATGAGATGCTCTATATTCTCAGCTTTAATGTTACTTAATATTACTTTTATTACTATATTAACTAATAAAAAGCTTTAATATGTAGAAACGATTGATAAATTTTTTCAGATTTTTTTTATTTTTTTAAAATTTTTAGTAGATTTAGGTCATTTTTATTCACGTCTAAGTAAAGTCCAAATTTTACTAGATACTATAAAAATGCTTCTAATTAAATTTTAGATATTACTTGTGGCATATAAGATAGTTGGTATCTATCTTTAATGTCCATCGAGTGTGGTATAGGTAGTGTTCAAAATTAAACTTTTTATTTTTTGTTAATTTTATTTGAAGCCAATTTCTCTATGTGTTGACATTCAATTTCAATACAAAAAATATTATATGATAGCCCTAGTTTAGGGAATCTAATAAAAAAAGTTTGACAATTTAAATCACTCGTTGTGTCACAATTAGAATTTTAAATTTAGTAATTTTTTTATTAATTTTTTTTTACCTGATGACTTTTGATACCCCACTATACGTATATTTTAAAATTTACAATATCAACCATTATTTCTTTTGTAGTATAGTATCTAATGAAATATTTTTATTTTTTCTGCAATGAGTTTGATAGCTGTTTCTGGAACAAGTACTTGAGCCATATATTGAGATTTTAATTGGGATCTACAAAGGTTTGCAGTCAATATACCAGTTTGAAGAAACATTTAATTTAACGATTTTATGATAACTGTAAACTGGTCATAATATCCAGGCTAAAAAATATCAAGGTTATTAATTATATTTTAAATAAAAATTTTTATACAAGAAATTAAACTTACTTGAAAAGATTCAAAATAAGACATTTGTATTAGTGGATTTAAAATTCTATTAGTTATTAGGCAAATTAATAAATCAATATTCAGGGATGGGAATATTTAGGGATAGGGATATCACTTTTTCATTCCATAAGGAATATCTTATAAATAAAATAAAAATATAAACTTATCTCCTGTTTTAGTATCATTTAAATATTTTAAAACCTTTAGAGGTAGTGTATTTGGAAGATTTCATCACTATGTGAACATTTCTTATTATTTTGATTCACTAAATTTTTAGATTTATTTAATAAAATTAAATAAAAATATTTTAATAAATTCATGACATACCAAAATTCAAATCTTCTTGAAAACTAATTCCAAATCAAGATTCTGAATTTCATGCTACGGTTTTCATGTATCAGTGTTAGAATTTGAATTTGCACGAAATTGTAATTGAGTATTATTTAAATTGTGATTATAAAGTTGTAATTCATAAAAAAATACCTTTCTTTTGATTTTCGAAAAAGTTGAATCCTCTCCATTTATTCCTGTTTTTTGTTCTATAGTACTTTTGGTTCTCTTGTTGGATATAAGTCCTTTCCTACAAACTACACTTTGTTGGTTCTATAGAATTAACAGATTGTGACTGGCTAATCTTTTCAGTCTCAGATGTAAATATTTTTATTGAAAGAATAAAAACTTACAGCCTTTGATGGATCTTGTGTTACAAATTTGTAACAATCGTGTGAACATATATTCATAGTTATCAAATTCATTATTGTTGTTGCAAATTTGAACTTAGAATATTTGAAGAGCCAGTAGTAAAGCAAATAATTTTCAACAAGTTTTTGCTATTATTTTTTTCATAGAAAAAGTTAAGTGGTAATTCTGTTAAATTAAGTTGTGTCAAATATGACTACAAATAAAACCTGAAATTGAGTATATTTAAATGACATTAATATGTGAAATAATTAGAATTATATTCATATTTCACAATATGTCCATTTGTTTCTTTTCCGTGCCTTTTTATATTAAAAATTTTTTCAATTGATTAACTATAAATATTAATTTTAATTAATAACTTCAAATAAACAAAATAAACAAATATTAATTTATATTATAAAATATGCCTACCTTGAAATATCTTCACATTTATTGTTCCAAAGATTTTTTATAGAAATAAGAAGTAAAGTACTATAAAGTAAAATCAGTTATTTCTTTTTGAACTTCTAGAGCTGACTGAATGGAATTAAGAAATGCTATAAGAGATGTACTAGTAACCTTTAAATAATTATTAATAGGTTCTTCACGTTGTGTTATATTCATGACTGCCGTAAATTTATCAAGATTATAACATGCAGCCTACTTTTCTTTTGTTGTTTCCATATTTAATAAATGATTTTGATGCAGGTGGATATGATACTTTAATGCTTTCCCATTATGCAAGGAATTCGTCTTGAGGTTGATAGTTTGATAGTTTGGTATCAAAACTGGGGATGTTATAGAAGTGGTATCCGTTTTTCAATAGGATAAACTATAGAACACATATGCAGTGCAAAACTCTAATAGTGAAGTGACTATAAAACACAAACATAATGACACTTGATAATGAAAGTAAACATGGTGAGTATGCTATGGGACTAGATTAGATACCTAAATCCCTGGTTTAGGATAAATTATCTGGTCTGGTTAGGTTTCCTCTTATCTGTCACCCATAAATCCAATGCACCAAAAACAAAACCCTAAATAAATGAAATAAAATATGATAAACTAATACCATTTCGAGCTAAATAGACTGCTTCGGCTATAATAAAATCACAAATTGTTATTGGAAATTAAAGTTGATCTCAAAATTTTCTTGAATTGATTTATAATCCTCAACTGTAAAAAATGTTATATAAATGTTATAACTTATAAGTATGTGTTAATATTAAAAATTCAAAATAAAAATATTTATCTATATATGATTACCTTCTTTGCATTCTGAATTAATTAGATTTCAATGTTATTTTAAGTAAGCCAAAATATTTATTTTTATAATTTAAATTAAAATAAATTGGAAACTTACCGATTAACATTAACTTATATTGTGAAATCATAGAATTTAGAGGTCTACTTTAATAAATTGCTTCTGAATGATAGCTATTATAATCATTTCTTTCCCATTCTTCTAGAAATTTCAATTCAACAGAAATTCTTCTTAAGTTTTCAGCTCGAATAAATATGTCTTCATTTTCCTTTCCCCAATACCACTTATCAAATTGTTCTCTAATTTCTGTTATTATAGGTCTATTAAGGGTATTTGAATCCCAACATCTTTTCATTAAATTAATAAACACCTCCGGAGTATCATCAGTAACTTCAGGTCTTAATCCACCTATAATTTCGTAAATGAGGTTCTGATCATGAGATCTATTAAAAAAAGGTCTATGCCCTGATGTTATTTCCCACATTAACATTCCAAAACTATATATGTCAGAAGCTTGACAATATGATGAATCTTTAAATATTTCAGGTGCAACATAAGGTATTATTCCATATACATAATTTGTTGAATTATCAATATTTCTACATAATCCTAAATCAGCTATTCTAATTGAACCAAGAATTCCTTAACTCCCATTAAGATGTTTCCTGAATGAAGATCTCGATGGATCATATTGTTATTATGAACTTGTTCAATTTTATATGATATTTAATTAATTAAGTTAATATACAAATAAAACTTAATTAAACTCGATAAATCAAATACATACCCTGTTGCAATATAATATAGTCTTTCTAACTTTGTTTGCCAAGTAATTTCATCGATATTTAGCCTTAAGTCTTTATGTAAACTTCCATCTTCTGCAAATTCGAGTACCATAATCTTATTATTAGTATTAGGATCTCTGGTTATTCCATAACATTGTAAAATAAAATTATTAGAACTTGTAATTCCGTGAGATATTATCTATTTAATTATAAAATTATGTTTAATGAATACTATTTGCACTTAAAAAAATATATGTAATATTAAGAGACATACTTCTTTCAAAAAATTATCTGTTATATCTTTAGAATTATGTAGATTTTTAAGTGCAACCTTACTTCATTTATTCCATCTTTGATCCAAGTAGCACTGCTTACTACACCAAAACCACCTTCTGCCACATATTTTACATCTTTAAATTGAGAGTATGGAATCCAATTTATGAACTCACTTGACTTTGCTTTTATATTCTGAACCATTCTAGATCTAGCCTGTTGCTCTTGTGTTGTTTCAGTCATGGAATGGCTCTTGCTTTTCTCCGTTTCTATTACTAGATTTATTACAGAAATATCATCTGAATTTATTTTCAGTACTTATTAAAATCATCAAGTGATTCTTTGTATTTATTTAGAATCTTGTAGGTTTCCCCTCGTGATCTTAATGTGAGAGTATTATTTGGTTCAATTTCTAGAGATTTATTAAAATCTATTAATGCTTCATTATGCATATTTAATTTTTGATATGTTTCCCCTCGCAACTTTGACATTAAAGCATTATTTGGTTCTAATTCTAATAAATTATTAAAATCCATTAATGCTTCATTATACTTTTCTAATTTTTGATAAGTTTCTCCTCGTAGTCTTGACGCAAGAGTATTATTAGGTTCTTTTTCTAATAAATTATTAAAATCTATTAATGCTTCATTATACTTTTCTAACAATAGATAAGTTTCACCTCGTAGTCTTAATTTAAGAGCATTATTTAGTTGCTTTTTTAGTAATATATTAAAATCTATTAATGCATCATTATATTCATCTAATCTTAAATAAGTTTCCCCTCGTAATCTTAATGCAAGAGTATTATTTGGTTGCTTATTTAATAATTTATCAAAATCTATTAATGCTTCATTATACTTTCCTAACTTTCGATAAGTATCTCCTCGCAGTCTTAATGCAAGAAGATTATTTGGTTCTATTCCTAATGATTTGTTGAAATCTGGTAATGCTTCATTATACTCTTCTAACAATAGATAAGCTTCTTCTCGTAATCTTAATACAAGAGTATTATTTGGTTCTTTTTCTAATAATTTATTAAAATCTATTAATGCTTCATTGTACTTTTCTAACTTTTGATAAGCTTCTCCTCGTGGTCTTAATGCGCGAGTATTATTTGGTTCTAATTCTAAAAATTTATTAAAATCTATTAATGCTTCACTGTACTCTTCTAACAATAGATAAGCTTCTCCTCGTAATCTTAATGTAAGAGCATTATTTGGTTCTTTTTCTAATAATTTATTAAAATCTAATAAAGCTTCATTATACTTTTCTAACTTTTGATAAGTTTCTCCTCGTAGTCTTAATGCACGTGTTTTATTTGGTTCTAATTCTAATAATTTATTAAAATCTTTTATTGCTTCATTATGCTTTTTTAGCTTTTGATAAGTTCTTCCTCGTAATTTTAATGCAAAAGGATCATTTGGTTCTATTTTTAATGATTTATTAAAATCTGTTAATGCATCATTATACTTTTCTAATAATAGATAAGCTTCTCCTCGTATCCTTAATGCTACAACATTATTTGGTTTAATTTCTAATATTTATTAAAAAATTTTAATGCTTTATTTAACGTTCTACAAGCTTCCCCTTTTGACCATAGTTTATTAGAATAATTTGGGATTAATAAATTTGATAACCGATTCATACCGATAACGCAATAGTATAATTAATACAAAATATAATTATAGGTTGTGTAAAATTTTTTTGATTTTGTTTTTATCTATGAAACACAATTTTTTTTATAACGGTTTGAAATTAATAGTAAAAAAAAATCAATTCAATTTTAAACCTATAAATATTATAAAAGTGATTAGTGTAACGGTCTGAAAAAAAGAAATTAATTTTCTCATTGGTCAAGGGAACATTTCACAAAATAATTTACATGTATTTAAAATAAATTCTGCTCGTTCATGGAATGATTATGGTATTTTTTTTATTTTTTATTTGTATTAATAATTTATTTTTTTTTAAATTATTGTTATATCAAAAAATAGTTATAATAGATAATAGATATTTTCAAGGAATATTTCTCCTTTTTAGGAAAAAGGGATAAATTTTTGCATCAAGCCTGATCAATTTGTTCCTTTGATAAAGATCGCCTTGTAAAGTCCTTTTTATAAAATTGTTACAAATGTGATTTCATGCTTTTGGATATTTAAACTTAAAATAAATTTTTATTTTTTTGTGTTAAACTTGTAAATTTGTCTAATTATTGAAGTTACACCAGCTAACTTATTTAATATAAATATATGTATGGTTTGAAATCTAACTTCCTTGATAGCCAAGGTCAAATTAAGCGTAAATTCTTTGTAAATCCCGCAGTTTTCTAATAATAAATACCGAAATTGTTGATTTTCCAAATTATACATCCCGGAATCGAAAAATAAATTATTTTTATTTTTATTATAAATTTAAATCTACTTATTTATATGTATATTCAAAACTTACATCATTTTTATTTTATAACCTAATTTATAAAAATATTTATATTTATCATTAGTCATAAAATATTTATAAAGGAACGTCAGTAAAAAGAAAAGTTCCTGAAGTAAAGGCATTGCTTAAATGCATTTTTCATGCAGGAACATCATCCCAGAGAAACTTTTGCAACGTGAAAGTTGTGAGGAAATAAATACGGAAGATATTCCGAAAGTATCAACTATAGCTATTTGAGTACATTTTCACGAAATTGAAATTATGAAGAATAGAGGCTGGTAACTTGCGTATAAAAAGTTTTTTTTTTTTATTAACGAAAAGAGTTTAATATTTGAGGATCATTTTTATTACTTATGTTATGGATCGACATTTTTTGGAAGCTAATACTAACATTGACTTATAATTAAATTTACAAAAAAAATTTATAGTAAAGCATTTCATAATCATACGCTATTGAAAATATGGAATACAAAAAATACTTATCTTTCTAATTTTGATATGATAATGTCAACCGATCTAATTTTCCCCAAGAATAAGCTTAAAACTTATTTACACGGATCTCGAGGATACTTTATTTTTGCACAATCTTTTCATAACGTGTATCTCTTCGATACCTAGTTAAAGTTGATAATTTCTTTATATAGTATAAATTTAAGATCTAGAGATGATCATTTATTTTAAATTATTTGATGTCCATCTCTGTGATGAGGTAGTATAAATTCATGCAACTTACAAAATATAATATGTGGTACACAATTGAATTTTAATATATACTGTAATATATATATGGCTTCAAATGATTTATTTTATCGGTTTATGAACTTACAATAAATAACTATGCCTCTATCTTTTATCTTGATTTAATCAATCTTTTAACATGCTATCTCCTGCTATGTTAAGCTTGAAGCTCTGCCGATAGAAATTAAATGGGAAAATGATTGTGTAGGAGGAGAAAATAATGCCGCGATTTTTGTATTTGGAGGAATAAATCAGGATAAGAACTCAAAATCTCAAATTAAGGCTAAATCAATTAATATATTTGATACAACTCCACAAATTAAAGGAGAACTAATTAGAATGGATACCTTATGTTAAATTTCACAGTATTAAAGAAATAGAAAAAGGCGTTTCTGGTCTTTTTATTATGCCGTGTGGATTAATGGATCTATTGACGATTTGGTTATTGAAAATTAAGAATCGAAAATACGAAATTTTCGGAACTTTGATATTAAAAAGGACCGGTATTATTGGGAATATTAATGAAGATATCTTAAATGAAGTAAAGAAATACTTTAAATTAATTAAATAAATTTCAATATTAATTTAAAGTATATAATATGCTAATTACATTATATTTTAAAAATATATTATTTAGATGACAATTTCACTTGAGAATTATGGTTTTATATCCATCAATCGTTTTTATGGAATTACAAAAGATCCAGAAATTCACAGATATATGATTGTTTTGGATTATATAGAGACGGAAATCTTAGAAATTTTTTAATAATAATTTTAATAATATTGATTGGTGTAATCAATTAGGTTATTTAAAGGATTTAGCATTTGGTCTTGAATTTATTCATAATTCATCACGATTTCCACCCCGGAAATATTTTATCACGTAATATAAATCCTCAAAAGAGAAATGTTTTTGGAGTACCCATATAGCTCTTGAAGTATTAAAAGGGGAAGAATATACAAAGGCTGCTGAAATACAAAACATTCTAATAACGCACTAGAACATTGCATTCTAGTATGCTATAAATACGAAATGTTCAAATAATATACTAGAATGCAATATTCTAGTACATTATAAATACAGAATGTTTAATTAATACACTTGAACATTGTGTTCTAGTATGTTAATGCCATTCAAATAATGCTATAGGATGGCATTCATAAAGTGCTGTAGAATGTTTTTATTTAATTCCTGATGCAATTTATTTTAATATAAATATCTGGATTGGTAAAGTTTTTGTTATTTTAATAATATAACCCTAAGACTGTAAAGTATAGTATATTGATATTTAAATGAACCTGAAAAAATATTATTATAAAAAAAGTGTATATCATTTATGACATATTACATATTCTGATGCTATTTGCTTTGAAAATATAATGAATTATGATGAAAATACTATAATTATTATTTTGAAAATACTGTGTTAAAGTAATCACCAAAAAACTTAGTGACATTAGAATTGTTTATTAAGTTTGCCAAGATAAATAACTCTTTTTGAATAAATACTCTAAAAATATAAAATTAAAGAAATATGCTAAATATATGTTCTAATGTTCCTATTTTTACTAGTTTTAAATTTTTCTTCTAGAAAATTCTGAAGCAGAATTTGGATTTCTATGGTTTCAATCTTGAGCAATTAAATTTTTATTTTAATCTGATGGAAAAAGGAATCTGAGGTAAAATTTGATAAAATCATTAGAAAAAGTTTATTAAAAAATAAATAAAATAAAGATTATTAATAAAGTATTCACTACTATTCATAGATTCTTGTAATGGCTAATTAAAACTCAGAAATATATAAATTTTTCAGAATTAATTTTATACAAATATTAAAGTATTTGAGAAAATTTTGTGATGAAAATATTAGTAGAAATAATTTTAATAAACCTGAATATCAAAACTTATCAGTTCAGAACAATTATATCAACCAATCAGTATCCACATTGACATACTATTAACAGTTGATCGAACAAATAAGTATTAATTTTAGTTTTGGAATAATAATAACAACAAAATCCTAATTATAAAATATAGAAGTAAAGATTATAAGGTTATAAAATTAAATTTCTAAATTTGGGAAATGTCTAAAGCCATGTCCAGTCACGTGACTCTCCAATTGATTACTGACTAAGCAATCTATTATGTATTATCTCCAACCAATTAAATTATAAAATAATTTTTTAGATCAAAAATAAAAACAAACAAAAATAAAAAATAAAAAATAAACTTTGTTCGCTCTTGCTATCCATCCATCTGCCTATCCATCCCCATCTCTATTAACAATGAAGAAATCCTGTAACAAGATAATTTTTATGATAAATTATACAATTATTTATTTTTTATTATTAATAAAATCATTTTTTATTATTTTTTTATTATTTAATATTTAATTTTTATAACATAGTAGTGTACACAATATTACAAGTAAAAAAAACTCCAACTATTTAAAAAACAAGTATAACAGAAGACTCACTTTTCCCACAATATTTTATACAGTGAACCTATCCATTTCTCTAGTAATGAATATGGAACTACTAATTTCTAAAGAACTAACTTCCGGTCAAAAGCACAATTTACTTTTTAATATTGGTCTGCTGCTTGAGTTATTGGTATAAAACTTTGACAGCAATAGATGGTTACTTATTTCAAATATTTGAACAGGATTTAATTTCAAAAAAAAATAGCAAATGGATACCTATACATGCTGTTTAATAAATATAATCAATTTAGCACTCAGAAGGAGGGAATCTCAAGTAATAAATGTTGAAAAACAAAAATTCATCCATCTCACTTGTGCTTTGCTAAAATTAAAATACAAAGAAGGAAAAGTACATGTTGATTATTTTGAAAACTCACCTAACCATATGTACTCTTTGGAGAAAAGTGATAAGATTAAACATTCACAAGTCATTCAAAACCTAGTTGAACAGAAGGTCATAAAGAACTATTGTCTACTAGCAAACCTTAATGCAGTAAAGAATATGCAGCAGAAACAATGGATCTGAATTCAAGTATAAGCGAGCTGAGACTTAAGGAGGTCACAAATATTAAGTATAAAGTTCATAGAACTCTTGATACTTACCTTATTGATAGTCCTGAATGAGAAAAAAATATTCAAGATTCAATTTTTTTTTTGGAGCAGGAAAAGTATCAGGTTGAACATTATATGATTTCTAATAAATTCACTTATGGCTTCATTTTTATACACCAAAAGCAGATTGAAAATCTTGAAAAATATGGATAGTTAACTCTTATTGATTCAATATATAAAATAAATTGATATGACACCTTGTATATTCATAATGGATATAGTTATTGAGATATTAGTAGACACTTTTTATAAGTAATGAGAATTCTGATACCATCATGAAAGCTTTAAAATCATTTAAAAATTTGCACCACACTGGAAACTTGGATATTTTCTTCAAAACCAAAGTAATGTAGAAGCAAACAGTATTAAATTGGCCTTTCCAGGACTCAGGAATGGTGAACAAGAATATGATACTATTTTTTGCACCATGCATCCTCTTGTGAACTTGGATGAGTAAAATATATGATGTGAAAACTTGACAAAAGATGATTTACACAATGTGTAAAAGAACCAAAATTGGTTGTGAAGCTTTATTCAGCAAGCAATTGATGAATGTCTGGTCCCAACCATCAAATAATATATTAAATGATATTATGCAAAAAATGATCATCAATGGACATTTTGAGCATGCCAACATTCTCCTCTTCTTCTACAAGTGACTTCAACAAATTTATTGGAATCATATCACTCTGAATTAAAATGAACAACCTCTTCACAACACAGTTTAATTGATATGTTCACTTGTTGTTTATATAATTTTTTATTCTTTAAGAAGTTAGCTTTTTTTTTTTTAAGAATTATTTATATTTTAGGTTTTATAATAAATTTTTTTTTTGAAATAATTTTTTCTAATAGGTGCATATCATAAAGTTGTTATATTGGATCAGAAGAAACATACAGATTCAGAATATGTTGCTTTTGAATTCCATATTAAGAAGATTTCAGTTATAGGTATGGATAATGAAAGTCTCAATGAACTTCACAAATTCTCTTTTCTGATTCAATGTATGCTTGTTGATAAACTTTGTGGTGTTGAAAGAAAACTTGAGAAAGTTAAAGCAGCTCCAGGATTGGCATTAATATATTGCAATTGTACATTTTATCATTGATACTTGCTTCCTTGACATTGTTACTAGTTGATCTTTTGTACTAATTCTGTTTTCCAAAAGACAATTTACAACTAGCAACTCATAAACAGTTACTTTAGTTTACGAATTGAAGGATATAATTTAGTTATTAATTAACAGTTAAATTTTAAAGGACAATTTAAGAAATTAAGGTAAAGAATTGAATATATTTTTCAATGATTTATAAAGTAATAACAGAAGTTTATTGATCAAAATTTATATTTGAAGAATATAAATTAGTAGAAAAGTAACAGAGTTTTAATATAGAAAATATAAGTTTATTACAAAGAAAATCAATAATCCAGTTACTTTAGGATTATAAAAATTTTAATTCAATTACAGAATTAATTACAGTTGCAATTACTTCTAAATTTATTATTTTAGAACTATTTGAATCTAACTTGAGGTAGAGAGAAAACTCACCCTTTTTATATTAGTTGATTTGACTAGTAAGTTGTTCAATAAGTTGGTCAAAATCTTGGCCAGTAATTATGCCAATCAGTTGGCCACTAAATTGGTCAGTAAATTGGCCAGTAACTGGATCACTATGATTCATATTACACTAATAAATAAATAATAAATAGTTATACTAACAAAATAAATAACAAATAAGAAATAAAATAATAATAAATGAAAATAAAAATTATTAAAGTGGAGAAAACTCATGGTAACACTGTCATGTTTTTCATGAGCATATGTATGGGACAGCAAAATTACTAACAGTTGATTCCTGGATGAAATTCCAATGGATATTTGAGGAGAATGGCTTTGAAGTGTATATGCATCATGAATTAGTTGAAGTGGATATATCAGTAGAAATTTAAAATTAGGAGAACCGCTGAAAATTGAAGGTTGGCCATAAATGAACTTATGGAAAAAACATGTGACATATATTGGAGGGTTGAAGAGAAGGGTAACAAAAAACAAACAGGTGCACTTCTTGAAGAATTAAAATCCTGTTTAGAACCTATTCTAAATAATGTAAGGGCGAAGGAAAATTTATAATAAATAAAAAATTATAATATATTAAAAATAAATAATGTAAAGGAGAAAGAAAATGTATAATAAATATGATAAATAAAAAAATCATAAATAAAAAAATCATAATTATTAAAGTGATATATTAAAAAAAAATAAATCAAAATGTTCCATGAATATAATACTTAGCCTGAATTTTTTGATTATATTTCACCAAATTTAAGTCCCGTTTGTCATGTGACATGATCCGTATTCTTAGATCGTTTTCGGTTGCCGATCTTTAGTCACTTGACTGGACACGATTCCTAAATTTGGTCATGTACAGTATATTAGCAACTCTGATTGATAAATACAAAAAGAGAAATATTCCAAAGCCTGATGAACCGATGATGAAACGTGGATTTTGACATCTAGGATTTAAAAAGTTTGTATTTTTCGAATTCGGTATTCTTACATATTGGCCTTTTATCAAGCTTGCATTATAATTACAAAAAGTTAACTCATTTTTTATTATCATTATATTTTTAAATCTAACTTATTTATATTTGTATTTAAAATTTAGATCATTTTTTTTTATTTTATTTTTATAACTTAATTATTAAATAATTTATAAATGGTAATCCGATCAGAAAATCAGATCAGAAAAATAGAACACCCTTGGAGTAAAGACTTTGCTTGCATGTGTTTTTCATGCAGGAACGTCAATCCCATACAAAAAATAACAACGAAGATCTTTTGCAACGTGAAAAGATAATCCGAAGGAGTTAACTATTACAACATTTGCGGATCATTTTTTATAAATTATATTATGGATCGACATTTTATGATCGATCCTTAAAATATGGAATACAAAATTGCTTATCTTTTCTAATTTTGACAACCGACCTAATTTTTCACAAGACAGAGCAGCAAAACAAGCTTAAAGATAATATACACGGATTCGCGAGGATTCTCGAGGATTATTATTATTTATGCACAATCTTTTGATCGCGTAATATCTCTTCTACTTAGTTAATTCCTTTATATAGTATTAGTAAATTGCATAGATCTAGAGATGATCAGCTACTTTAAATTATTATTATGCATTATTTTCCCTAATGATTAGCAGTGTTACACAATTAAATATAAATATATAACCAAAAAAACGTTTCTTAAATTTATGAAAAAATGAAGAGAATAAAATTAAATATTAAATATTTTATTTATTTCCTTATTATTTCACAGTTATGGGTAGATTTAATTTATTCATTTCAATCACCAAATATATATGGTCATTCAACTGCTCTAATTGATAAAAAACTTTATTTTATTGGAGGAAATGAGCATACAACAAATGACGCTGCCTCTTTCTTTTATCTTGATTTAAATCAATCTTTTTACATACAATCTCCTGCATACGTTAGTCTTGATGCTCTACCAGTAGGAATTACATTTGCAACTGCTTGTGTAGGAGGAAAAAATAATGATACAATTTTTGTATTTGGAGGAAAAAATTTGCATGAGAACCTCACTAGAATTATGGATAAATTAATTTATACATTTGATGCAAAAAATAAAAAATGGTCAACTCCACAAATTGAAGGAGAGCCAATTAGACGTCAAGATCTACAAGCAGTTATAGATACAAAAGGAAATATGTATATGTTTGGAGGAGCCTATGTATTCAATAATTATAATTATACTAGTTTGTTTAAAGATATGATTATTTTTAATACAAAAACTTTTACATATTCAAGTGGTTCGACTATTAATGGTCCACCTTATACGTTCGGTTATACTGCAACATTATTACCAAATGGTATTATAATGTATATTGGAGGCAGATTTTGGAATGCAAGTATCCCTCTAAATGTTTCCACACATCCAATTATTCCGATTACTAATGTAAATTTAATTAGTCTTTATTATGATTTTTTGTTATTAGTCTGTTAATAGATTTTAATAAATTATTTATTTATTTTAATCAGATTACCATGTATGATATAAATAAAGATTCTTGGAGTTACACTGTAAATTATTTCAACAAATAAATTACAATTTATTTATTATTATTAACTATTATTAACTTAGATAATAATAAGAAATAATTGTACTTTTTATCTTTTAACAGATTGCTAAGACCCTAAATAATATTTCAGATCGAACTTATCATTCAGCTGTTCTGAGTATGAACATGTATTTCTTTCTTTACAATAAACTTTTTCTTTACAACTAATCTCTCTCCTTTTTTATTATTATAGCACCAAATGGACGCATAATATGTTATGGAGGGCTGTCACCGTCCGGCTTAGCTATAAATTCTTCTCTTATAGTATTAAATACAACTTCGTTTGAATGGCATTCTCCAGAACATTTTGGTACGAATGAACCGCCTAATCTTGGTTATCATTCAGCAAATTTGGTTGATAATTATATGATAATTGGATTTGGTAAACACTAATTTTTTTTAAAAAAAAATAATTTTATTATAAAAAAAAATATAATATGTAGTTCATACATTCTTAAATAACAATTTATTAATTAAAAAAAAATTTCTTTTTATAACTATTTTTTTTCCGAATAGGAAATGTTACTTTTAAAAACACTAGCTCAAATATATATATACTTGATACAAGAAATTATACTTGGATTTCTTATTTTGATGCACGATCGATAACATTGCCAGGAAAAAACGAGTCAAGAATATCAAACAAGCCTCTTTCAGTTGGAGCAATTATAGGAATAACTATTGGTGTTACAACTGTCTTGGGATTTATGGGACTTCTATTATACTTTGGAATGCGTTATTATAGAAATATGCATCCTCAATTTGATGAATCTGGATCTGAACTATCCTCAGGTTTGCAAAAATAAGTCTTAATTTTATCAGTAGAGAAACTTCCAAAGTAATAGTATTCATACATAAATTTTTCACAAAAAATCTAATGACTGACACTTCTTCAATAGAATTTATATTGTAAGTTATAAATCATCTTTTAACTTTTTTAAAAAAGAGACACCTAAATAGAATATTTAATATTACATTTTAAAATACTTAAATTAATTGATTTAAATGTTGAAATTTTAGTTAATTAATATTGTTTATTTGTAATAATATTAATCCTAATCATTTATCACGCGTTTGATATTTTGTTAAATTTATAAATCATGTTTATTATTATTATATATCTTATTTTAATCTTTCTTTAGGCAAAGAGAAAAAATGACACATGCATAATACTAACTGTTTTAATCGGATCGGACCCTAAGTAATATTATGCCCTATAAAAACTGTTTGTCCTTAAATTGTTTATGAATGTGCATTAGTCATTATTAGTTCATTTAATTACCGATCCGTCTAAGATCTGCACCGTTTGTCGATCATTTTATAAAAAGAGCTGTTTTTACATCTCGCTTGTGTACTAAACTTCCACCCTTAATATAATAAAAAAGTATCAGTCTTATTTCACCAGGAGTACTTATTGAAAAAACTTTATTATGGTCATTATGGTCCATATTCCTGATATTAGTAAACAGCAGGACATTCATTGAAGGCATGAGTCTTTAAATCAACTTAGAAGACTGATATGTATTTGTTTTTAGTTAATATGTGTTTGTTTTTTAGTAAATAATATATAAAGTAAAGCAAAATAACGAAATACTACATAAATTTCCTTTTGTTAATTAATTTAAATTTTTTATATAAGAATTGTGCCGATCTTAGACGATCTTAGACGGATTGGCAATTAATGTACTTTTTTATTATTATTTTAATTCGTAAAACAAGCGGTCAAGAACGGGGGGGGGGGCTTGTTTTATGGTATTCTTTTTTTGAAAAAAATTGAATTCTGAACTAAATATTTCTAAATAACATATGTTGTTTGGGACTTATTTACTAAATCAATTTTTACTTATATAGATGATTTTGAATATTTGCTAATTTTATCACAGTACTGAATTATAATAAATGATTTTTATTTTATAATAAGTATAAATAATAAATAAACTATTTGATATTAATTCAAAATTTAAAATTATTATTCATGTATTCCACTAATTCTTTGCCTATATATTCACAAATTCCTTTATCAAAGATATCTTTCAGTCTTGTATATCATTTAACATTTGTTCATCTACTTTAATTGCAGATAAATCGGATGATGTAATTTAATGATTCCCATGATGGTGAATGACTCAAAGCAACATATGCTTGACCAGTAGCAAACATGGATTCATCAATTGAAACTGTTGAATGAGGTAATGTCAATCCTTGTGTTTTATGCACAGCCAAAGAAAATGCATTGTGTAATGGAAACCGTTTATGTTGTGTTGGTGATCTATAAATAATAAATAAACTGTTTATTTAATGACTTTTACAGAAATTTCCTGTGTTAATGGAAATGCAACTATCATATTTTCTTCATCAAGAATTTCCAGTACAACTTCAATTGATCTATTATATAAGCCATTAGAAAATAAATGATTATGTAAAAACATAACTCTAGTTTCTGGTACTAAAGTTATTATGATGGAAAATTTGTACGTAATTAAATTTACGTGGCCAAAGTAGGGTTAGGGGTTGATCAGGCAATTATGTAATTTTATTTTTCAAAATCCGATTTTTTAGTAAAATCAAAACATTCTATTTTCGTATAAAGTTTTAATTCTTTGTTGAATTGAGTCCACAACCTTCCTAAGAATCGATATATTTAATTTTGATTACTCCTCACTCAAAGCAGTCTTGAGCCATCTACAGTTTTTGGAAATTTTTTTTTGTTCTAAAATATTGCCCTTTAACAATATCAAGATTTTTTCTATGAGTTTAAGATCGAGAGAATTAGAGAATTTCAAAATTTAGATTTTTTTTGTCTTAAACCATTTTACGGTTTTCTTTGTGATATAAATTGGAGAATTATACTGTTGAAACACCAGTTTTGGATGGATGTCATTTTTAGCCATACACAACAGTATATAACATTCATATAGTAAACACACAAAAAAAGAGAAGGGCATATTGTTAAACCAAAAAAACGGTCGTTACTTTTCTGTACATATTTTTTCATTATTATTTTTATGTTCATTTAAGTATTTTTAATTTATGCACAAAAAAATAATCAATGTAAATGTACATTTTTTGTTTTTTTTTATTTAAGAAAAATCTTCAATAAAACATACTGCACAAAACGTGTACATAAAATGAATATATAATTTAAATTAACTAAATTTAAATAATTTATAAATCATATTAACCAACTTTTTAAAATTTATATTATTATTCATCAACATTAAAGTAGTTTTTAATTCTTCGCTGTAATCTTGAGGTCTTGCGCAACGAACAATGCCATATGACTTAACAAATTTATGTGGTCCATAATCTTGAAACTAAAGAAGTGGTCCTGCATTGTCTTCTTCAGCAATTATTTGTCAATGAATATATATTTGCTTATATTAACATGAGTTTTTTTTCATTTTAAGATTCATAAGAAAATAATATGTTTTAAGAATAAATTTGTCTTTCTCGGATTTATCAATATATATAAATTTTACTCAACGTGAAAAAAAAATAATTACCCTAAAAGATTTATTGAAACATTTTTAAAAAAAAAATAATTAATTATTTTTTTTTTTAACTTCTGATTGATTAAGTATATTTTCTTTGGTTGAAATAAAATTTTCATCTGTATTGGTTTAGCAAATACAGGATGAATTGCATATTGCTTGGCAGTTTTGAAGGAAAGATATCTGTAAAGATTGCTTGATAATGTTTTAATTTCCCAAGTATGAATATATTTTTTAAGTGAACACGTTAATAGAAGAATCATTCCCAAATACGCTCCATTGAATAATGCTCCGTTAACCTGTATTTTTAACACTATCTGTAATATGCAATGGCAAGTACATTAAAATGTTTTTCTCTTCGAATATTCTTGTATTTTCTATATTATAAAATAAATAAATAATTTTTATTTATACTATTTATACAAAGCAATAATTACTATTAACAAAAAAAAAAAAAGTCATTTAAACCGAACTTGAACAAAATAAAAATTCCAGAACTTACATAAAATTCATTAATTCAGAACTTGAAGTTCCTTCATTTTCAAAAAATTAATAAACAGGATCCATAAATAAATTCTCATTATTGTAGTCAAAGATTCTCGTCAGGAATAGAAGCAAATGATGAACTAGAATCAGAGTGAGGACTTGAACTTAGGCTTGAAAATTCATGTTCATGGACATTTCTACGATGTCTTGCTCTGATAGACATTGAAACGAGAGGATCAGTCCCTTTTTATGCAAGTACATAAACTAGATTGACATTGGAAATGATGCTTAATAAATAAACTATCAATACAATTAGATTTCCGATTATCCTTCGATCTTCATTCTTCGTTTCTTCATTTCATTTTTTTTTGTAATAGTTATGAACAAAATTTCCTTTTCTTCTGAAGATAGTCTTTCCGTCCAAGATGAATACCAAAAAGTCATTTCTTCGCTCATGTACATATTAAAGATTTTATGATCCTGTTGATCGATATAGGAAGTCAAGTACTTTGCTTTTTCTAATTTGATTTATAATTTTTTATTTGTTTAGTTTAAAAAAGAAATTCATTTTTCCCTGAATGTCTTAGGAATTGGGTAACAATCTTATGCATCGAAAGATTAATTTCAAGCGTTTGTTTCTAAAATATTTTATTATATTTTAGAAAGAGATTTTAATTTAAATAATATTTCATTATAAAGGTGATAATAATCGACCAAAATATAATATTGAAATAAAAAAAGAAATATTTGTGTTTAGTTTTATTATTTTATTGTTTATGATAAAAAAAAAAATTCTAATTATACATTTATCTTAGGACCATTAAATCTGGTATATTAACAACAATAAATCTTTCCTTCAAAAAAAATTCTAGAAAGCAATCACGATGAGATTAAAATAATCAACAAAATTTTTATTTGAAGATTTTATTTGCGAAATGAAATGTTTCTTTTTTATTAGCATCAGGAATTTTTTTAGGCGTAAATCTACGTAATATTACGCAATTCTACGCCTAAAAAAATTTTCGGATGTTTTTCATTTTCGAATTCATATACCAAATTTCCATAGTATATTATGAAATACTAAAGTTTCTAAACTTTGTCCAAATATCTTACTTAATCCAAAATCCGAAATATTTGAAAACAATATCTAATCTCTAAAATTAATTCTAATCAAAAAATAATTTAAAATCCTAATTAATATTTTCGTTAAATAATATGTGTAAGTATATTTCAAAAATTGCATGTTTCGAGCAAAATGTCTAAATAAGGAAACCGATAAGCATTTATAAGCATAAATTTCTCTTTTATAGATTTTGCCTCATTGTTTTTTAATATCCACTTAGAATAATATATAGTTTCAAAACCGCCTTTAGCAATCTCTTTAATGCCTTTAAATTTATAAAAAGGTATCCATTTTGTTACTTTCCACAAACGATCTGCAGTAAGTGAGCATTTTGTATAAGCTTATCTATTTTACATTTCCACTTGCATTTATCAAAATTATTTTTGAAATGATTTAAGTGCACCACCAATAATGCCATTATTGCGTTCTTCATACGTTGATATATCCATTTTGATTTTGATGAATGAGACAATTGAAAAATGGAAATAAAATTGGGAAAATTTTTCACTCTCGGAGGAAATTACCGAGTGTGTTGTACGAGATTTAAAATTAGAAAAGTGCAATTACAACAGTAAATATTTATAAATAACAAGGGTTCAGAGTCAGGGCGTTGAATATTAGTTTATACGATTTAGAAATCCTAAATATTTATCTTAAATTAGCAAGATTTGTAAGTTATTAATCAATTTATTATTATTATTTAGTACATTTTTTAGGAAATAAGATATGTATATTTTTCACAAATTTATAAAAGGAATTAATAATGGATTCTATGGTAGAATTTTTTATTTTTTTATTATTAAAAAAAAAATTCTCACGTCACGAGAAAATTTTCCAACAAAGAAAAAATTCAATTAAAATACTTCGTAATCAATACTATCTTGCATAAGAATAAAAAATTTATTTCAAGAAAAATGAATTTTTTTTTCTCCCTTAAATTATGTCAAAAATATATCCTATTTTTTTATTATTTAAATTTAAGCTTTATCAAAATAATAGTAGAAAAATGAAAATAATAAAAATAAATATAGTATATTTTATTTATTTTCTTATTGTCTTACAGTTATGGATTATTTTAATCTATTCTTTTCAATCACCAAGAATATATGCCCACTCAACTGCTTTAATTGATAAAAAACTCTATTTTATTGGAGGAAATGAACGTACAACAAATGACTCTGCCTCTTTCTTTTATCTTGATTTAAATCAATCTTTTTACATACCATCTCCTGCATACGTTAGTCTTGATGCTCTACCAGTAGGAATTACATTCGCAACTGGTTTCGTAGGAGGAGAAAATAATGCTACAATTTTTGTATTTGGAGGAATAAATCTTAATTAATTTATCAATAATTTCCGATTCTGAGTTTTTATCAATATATTTGATACAATAAGTCAAGAATGGTCAACTCAAATTGAAGGAGAACTAATTGGACGTAAGGAATTTACAAGCAGTTATTGATACTAAAGGAAATATGTATATGTTTGGAGGAGGATATAAATTCGATAATAATGATTCTACATATTTTAAAGATATGATTATTTTTGATGCAATAACTTTTACATATTCAAATGGTTCAACTATTAATGGCCCATCTAATATGTTCGGTTATACTGCAACATTATTACCAAATGGTATTATAGTGTATATTGGAGGCATAGCTCGGAATGCAAATGTTACTACTCATATTCCAATTAATAATGTAAGTATTATAAATCTTTATTATTGTTTTTCGTTATTCGTCTGTAAATAATTTTATTTTTTAACCAGATTACCATGTATGATATAAACGAAGATTCTTGGAATTACATTGTAAATTATTTCATTAATTAAATTCGATTTATTTTTTTTTAAATAAGATAATAATAAGATATAATTGTACTTTTTATTTTTAATAGACTTCTAAATCCTAAAATAAAATAAAAATCGAAGTTATCATTCAGCTGTTCTGAGTATGAATAAGGATCTCTTTCTTTGCAATTAGCTTTTTCTTTGCAATTAATCTCTCCTTTTTTTTTTTATTAATATAGCATCAGATGGCCGTATAATATGTTATGGAAGATGATTAATAGAACCAGATTCATCAATATCACCCACTAGCCCTTCTCTTATAGTATTAGATACAACCTCGTTTAAATGGCGTTCTCCAAAATATTTTGGTACAAATGAGCAACCTAATATTTGTGCTCATTCGTCAAATTTGGTTCAAAATTATATGATAATTGGATTTGGTAAACTTGTTAATTATTTGATAATTAATTTATTTAAAAAATATGTTAAATATAATTCATTCATTCTTAAAAATATTTTATTAATTAAAAATTCTTCTTTTCAGTCTTTTTTTGAATAGGAAATATTACTTATGATATTTCAACTTTACTAAACACAAGTTAAAATATATATATACTTGATATAACTAATTATACTTGGATTTCTTATTATAACGCACAATCAGTAACATTCGAACCATCACCATCGACATCAAAATCAACATCAACATCAAAATCAACATCAACATCACCATCAATATCAGATCTGCCAGCAGGAGCAATTGTAAAGCTCCTAATGTAACCGTTCGGTTCAGTTCTAACGTTGAACTTAAACCGAACCAAAATTTAAAGCACGTTTCGGTTTGGAACTGAAATTAAAAACTTCAATCCGAACCGAACTGATCTGAACCGGTTTGCACCAGTTTAAAAATGGTTCAAAGGTTTTTTTTTTGTTAGAGTTTTTGCTTAATTATTAATAATAAATTGTATTATTATAAAATGC